TCCTGTTTTTATTTTTTTCTTTTTCTTTTTTGTTTTTATTATAAAGGTGTTATACAGAAGGGTTGCAGTTACATTTATCAGGTAATTAATACATTTCTTTGTGGATCATGTTCCTGCTTTTTCTTAGTCCTTGCATGGGGAGTGTGTATAATTGGAATCTCTCAAGAGAAAATGGAGTAAGTCTGCAGAGAAGACATTGGACTCTCTGGCATTGGATTTGTTTCCACTTGCCTTCCTTATTACAAAAACTTGAGAGCTGACTTAGGCCCAAGGTCCTAGAGAATAAAGTTCCTCTTCTAGGGGGAAAAAAAAAGTTTTCTTCTCTTCTGTATTACTTTAGAATTCACTGATTATACTTCTCACTTGACCAAGATCTATTCATTGCCTTAGGCTTTTTTGTGATACCTTTACTCAAAGCAAAGGTTAACCTTGTCTTACTAATAACATCCAGCTTTTCTAAGGCTTGGCTGTGTCTTTATCAGTCGTCTTGTGCCTTGCACAGAGCAGCCATTATAGGCAAGTATTCCTGCCCTTGGAAAGAAGCTCATTCCCTGAGTTCTTGAATCCTTCTCAACCCTACTCTACTTTCTTTCTTAATGATAGTTGCAAAGTTTGGAAACTTTAATAATTGGAGAGATTGGGTTGTGATCGTTGATTTGCCTGTCAACCTGATTGGAAGATCCTAGGACACTGGAAAGTACAGCTGTGAATGTGTTATTTGTGGTACCATCCCACACTCGGTTAGCCCAGCCTGATGGGTGGAAGCCTCTGAATCTTAAATCAAAAGAAATCTCTCCTCCTTACCTTATTTTTCTCATCTATCTGTCATGGTGACAAAAGTCTGATTAACATACTATGTAAAGAATATATAAAATAGTGCAATCAAATGTGGAACGGCAACAATGAAATCTGTACTCCTCACCTGGCATAACTATTAAGCTAGTAAAAGAAGAATAGAGAAAAAATTAATAGAAGTTTTTGTGGTGCTGGGGTTTGAACCCAAGAGCTTGTGGTTGGCAAGGAGGTATTTTCATAACTGGGGCATGCCCCACTTTATCCTTTAGGTAATTTTGAACAGCGTCTCACTTCCCCCCCTCCCACCATGAGCCTTCTATTTAGACTTGGTGAGTAGCTGGGATGATAGGCCTCCACCATTGTTCATCTCTTATTTGTTGAGATGGAGAGCTCATTGACTGTTCTCTGGACTGACCTTGAACTACTGTCCTCTCCATCTCTGCTTCCTGAATGGTTGGGATTACAGTGGTGAGCCACAGCACTTTTCCATATTAGATCTTTGATTGCCCAACATTTCAAAAAAATTTTGGCTTCTTTGCATCATGCAAAGTTGTTAAGTTTTAAGTATTGTTCATATCCGTCTCATTAGAAAGAACATATACTTTGTGGGATATGGGAGGGAGGTGTGTGGGGATCTGACTTTTGAGAGTAAATGTAGAGTCTTGGTAGCCATGCCCAAACCTGCCAAAATATCTTTACAAAAGAGGTTTCTAGCATCTGTCCAAATTTTAACTCATCAGTAATGGCAACACAAATCCAAGACTTCATTTCACTCAGCAAAACCTTATCTCCTTAGTTACTTTCGTATATTTAGATATATGAACTAACTCAGTAGACCACCACGTGAGAAAAATAGCAAGGAAATTTGATATTTCCTGCCTGCACTACTGTTCTGTTTGAGATGTTTTATTATCTGGGTGGGTGGAGCCTGGATGTAAACATTTTCTAAAACCACATGTATTTACCTAGCTGTAAATGAATGTCCTTAAAGAGGTCTTAAAGTATCACACACTATTGACATGATGCGTTAAACAGCACTGGCCTCATTTGTGGGCTGAAGTATAACACAGACTTCCGTGAACCTACTTAATTTGAGGACCTATGTTTAAAAGGAACAGTGAAGTGTAATTTTCTGAATATACTTGTGCAGAGTTTCTTTCCTTGGTTTAGTAGCATTGTAGCCAAAGCAATTCACCTAGTATTAAACTGTTTTAATCTGCACTTCATGGGATGGATTTTTCTCAGTGTAAATTCATGAAGTCTAAAGCTGTCCGAACCTAAAAGTAACACATTTCTAAGTAACTGCCAGAATCAGTGAGGATCCAATGTCCTGTGTGAAAGGATTTGCTTTTAAGAAAGAAAATCTTTTTCTTTCTGAAAAGCAAATCCTCCAAAAGATTCTACCTTTTCCATCTCCTGTATGTGTAGATACCATCCCAGAATTTCCATGGAAAAGTGCTCTGAATTGAACTACCTAACGCCACCCACCCTTTAGAGTCCAAATGGCCACATGTTCTAAGATACTGTTCATCCAAACTCTGTTTATCTTTGGCCTATACATCAGTTCCTCACCTAATTGTGACTTAGCTTTGCCCTCTAGGAATTGATAAGTCAAGGTCAAATCCCCAAAGTTCCATTAGGATGTATTATGGATTTACCACACAGGATTTTGACCAGACATGGTAAAAGTAAAATTAAATAAAACACAAGAAATTTCAAAAACAAAAATTTTTAAACACCCATATGCATTGCACAGCTCAGTGTGGAAAAGCTCTGTCAGCCTTGTGAAAACTTGTTACCCCAAGAGCAAATGGTGCCTGCAAAGTAAGGCTGAAGTTGATGTTGAAGTGATAAAGTTGAATTGAAGTGATAAAGTAAAATTTTTAGATTTGTTATCAGAGGGTATGTGTTTAGCAGAAATTAGATGACATTATGGGAAAAAGGAATCAAGCATCTACAGTATGTAAAATGAGATATAGCTCTAAGTGAGCTGTAATAATACGTACAGAAATAATTTTTGTGACAGTAAGATAGTCTAGTCTATGTGGCTTCAATGTATTTAGATCCATGGTACATACAATATAAGTAAATTTGGGTAACTTCACGTCTTGGGCACCGTCCCTGAGATTTTTTGCTCAAAATTCTACCCCTTTGAGCCACAACACCACTTCCAGTTTTCTGATAGTTAATTAAAGAGTCTCACAGACTTTCCTGCCCAGGCTTGCTTCGAACTGTGATTCTCAGATCTCAGCCTTCTGAATAGCTAGGATTACAGGTATGAGCCACCAGCACCTAGTATAAATAACTTTAACTCACTCAACTTGAAGCATCCTGAAGATTTTGTTTTTCCTCAATGATGCTTCCCTTGGAACCATGCACCTGCAATACCCAGGACCTACTGTTGTAAGGTAAATCATCCCAGAAGCCACATTTAAAAATGTATAATATTGGAGTCTTTATTATCCAGCTAGGCTGCAGGCTGCCAGTTGTTACAAAGGCCTGCAGCACACAAATACACATAACACAGCTAGGAAACATGCTAAAGAGGAAGGAAAGAACAAAAACAATACCAACAAGCCAGTTCAGCTCCAATGGAGAGCTGAATTGGGAGGCCATGATGACTGGAGATGAGCCAGGAGACAGGACACAATCACAGAGCCACACCTGGCATGGAGTCCCCATGGCTAGGCTGGTCTGGGTCTAAATAGGTCAGTGCAGGGGGCAGATGCTTAGGAAATTCCCAGTCCCATGCACTGGACTGACAGATTCAGTCACCCATCAGCTAAGTGCCTGCCCCTGCCTCCAGGGGTCTGGCATGCCCATTACCTGGGAGGCAGGTGATGGGGGAGGAGGGGGTGTCCCTTCTCACAGCATGTAGACAAGATGTCAGACCCTACCATCCACCATGTGGCCAATATGGCGATGGCCAGACCTGACTTCCTTACTTCACTGTGTTACCAAAAATCAAACAAACAAAAAAATCATGGTGCTATTTAGAAAAGTGAGGAAACAGAAGTTGTGAAAGGAACTCACAGTGTAGCAGATCTGATTTTCTCTTAAGTAGTAGGGTCATTCATACTGAAGGATAAAATGGAGTCCCATTCACCTAGGAATTTTAAGGTGTCTATTAAAGGCTAACCTTGCTATAGGATGATGGTGGTGACAAAGGCTGGTGAGATAGAAGCACAGTGCTCTGCACTACACTGACATGTTAGATCCTCACAACCACCCTCCAAGTAGAAATACCTGTCTTTATATGCAAGTAAACTGAGGCTCAGATGATATCTTGCCTGCAGGCTTGTAGGGAAATAGGTGAGGAACTGTTGTTCTATCACTCAGTCCTCTGGGTATGCTCTGCAGTCTCCTTTTGTTTTCTGGGTGCTTATTAAGTAAGAAGATATTTTCAAGCATTGAAACTGTGTAGTGATTTTAAGTTGATCTATCTATGTGTTGTTTATTTCAATAAGAAACTCTAACCAGGTGTAAAAGAAAGGATTTAAGGTAGGGATGGGAGTACCCAAAATAGAGTCTCTCTGCTGTTCAATCTTCCACGACTTGCTGTCATCCAATTCCTGAAGTATTGTGTTGTGTCCCACCCCCCCCTTCACCCCCCCCTTCCCACTTCTAGCCAAGTATAGTCATTTCTTCCATATCTTCCCAGGCTTGTTAAAAGCATTAAGTGACAGAAGGAAGGGAATGGATTTTTACACCCTGTCAAATGGAAACCATTGCTATTATCATTGCCATTGGGTTTCTTTGTGAATTGACTGGCATTAGCCCTTTGGACTGTCTCTTCAAGCTACTAACAAGCTTCTTCACAATTTTCCACTTGTATACAAGTCTTTTCTTACAGTGTCCTCGTTTATGTGTTGACAAATGGATACTCTCATAGGCTATTTTCTACACTGAGATATTTAATGGTGTTTAAAATTTTGCTTCTTTTGGGGGGAAATTTCTCTCTGATCTTTGTAGTAGATAAGGAGAGATTAGTATTATTTATTTCTACAGCGAATGTGATGCATCCTTCATAAGTAGGAGTAAAATGACCTATTATCCTGTCTACTTGCAAATATTTTAGCAACAGAAATGTCTAAATACATGATTAATGTGGTACTGTGGGAAGATAAGTCCACTCTACTATTGCCTACCTTCGTGTGCATATGAAAATTTTTCTAATGCTTTTTTTTAATTTGTTGTCTTTACAGATGCAGATTTTCTTTTACAATCCTGACGATTTTGACAGCTTTCAAACCGCCATTTCTGAGAACAGAATAATTGGAGCCATGGCCATATTTTTCCAAGTAAGTTAACAGTGGCTGAAGTACTTCAAGCAGAGAGTTTCTCAGAGCATTGTTTTTTTAGTAATTCGCCGGATTGTTCCATGTTTAATGAATGCATCTGTTTTCTAGTTCACACCTGTCTGAATGAAAGATATTTCATATTGTCTAATGTGTGATTTAAAATGTAAATAAGTATGTTTAGAAACATAATGAAAATTTTTGCATGAATTATTCTGATTTTATTGCTACTTGTCTGGTGCACAGATTGAAGAGCACATTTATCATCTAAGTTACTTTGCTGTTAAAGCGTTTTGAACAGGTTCCTCCAGCATATTAAGAGACTAATTTTTTTTAAAGGTGGTTTTCTTTCTAGCAACTTTAAAATTTGACATTACTTCTTGTATCTAGATTAATCAATAACATCAGTCACTTCTTTGAGGGAGATCCCTTCTTCTTTCTCTCCTCCAAGTCCTCATGGTAACAAGTTCTTACTGAAACTCTTTCTGAATTAGTATGTCCACAAACTAATCAGTTCTTCTTCTTTTAATGTGCTTATATTGATTATCACTCAGAGCTTATTGTAGATTTTGCATATAGAATGGAAACTGTCTATCCTGCCTCAGATAATCCTCTCCAGGCTTAATATGTCAAATCAAGTTAAAGCAAGGTAGATGAGTTGTGTGCCTTGGCCAGGTTACCTATAGGAGACATGCTTGTGTTTTGTAAGGAAAACAACCCAAGCAATAGGCTATGATTTGATGTTGTTGTTTTTCCTGGTCTTAAAATTTTGCCTAAAAACACTACACACATGTGCCCCTCTTTCTAGTGATATATTCCTAACAAAGGGGGGAAAAAGATATCCTTGCCTCCTCTAAGGTAGGCCTTTAACATCTGCCTTTTGGGACCAGCTTCTTTGTCATTGAGATGATGCCATTCAGTTGGAGGATGTTAATTTCCCCCTCTTTTTAGCAGGCAAGTCTCTCCATTCACCTCTAACTCCCTCTAAACAATCTGCATCCATTCACTTTGCTTGTATAAAGAATGCTGTGGGAGAGTATATGTGAAAAGCTCAGTATTCTAAGTACCATCAAGTTAGAGCATCAGTTTTCAAGTCAGCGGACTCTATTCTACCAGTATGCCAGGAAAGCATTTCAGTGGCCCTAAACCAGCATTTCTAAAATAAATTAAATCCAATTATATAAAGTAGGGGAAATATTGACATATATCATGCTGTAAGGATCAAAATGTTTTTAGTACATGATGAATTAGTTTATACACAATCTTGCATTCTGGACTTATACTGGTTATACTATAAAATGTATTATTTTCTAGGGGGCATGGTCAAATATTTTGGTTATTTATGCTCTGTGTTAGGCTGATTGACCCATTGTTCTTCAACAGAATCTTCTTCTGTGATGACATTGATGAAACACCATAGAACATAGTATTTTAAGAGTTGATTTGATGAAAGAGAAAATATTTGCTCTTGAATCCCACCTCTTCTGCCTTGCAGCTACATAATGCTGATGTGGTTAAACTTTGCAGCCTCAGTGTTCTCATCTGCCAAATGGGAATAAGAACAAATGCATCAGGAAGATGATAGTTGTGATTAAATCAGTCCCTTGTTTGTAGTTCCAAGTACACAGTAGACACAGTTGGTATATGCAAAATACTGTATATTTATATGTATTCATCTGTGTCTTGGGCTGGAGACCTCATGATACCAATGTCTTCTTTTCATGAGCAGGATATTGTGAGCATCCTACACTGCAGGTTATGGCACTGCCCTGGTGGAAGATGACATGATTGTATCTTAGATTTTTGTAACCTTCTATTCTTTTGTCCTTGACAACACTACTATCACATAAGTACTTCCTCTTTTCTTGTTAGCTCCTTTATTTATACATGCTGTTTTCCACTTAGCTGAGATTCTGCTCCCCACCTTCTCTGTCATACTCCTCTCAGCCCAGACCAACCAAACCCACTTTTGTAGGTCATCCTTGGTATAATATGTTTGAGTTTTGATTGGTAATTCTATATATACTTGTTAAATATAAGACCAAGTAGAGTCTAGAGCAGGCAAAGCACCAAAATACTCTGAAATCTAGATTAAAAAAAATTTCTTTATGTATTTCTAGCATATGGCTCCTAGCTTGTATATGAAGACACGCAATGTGTATTTCATTTCTTAGGTACTCTGGTAAATTTTGCCTTGCTAGGCTGTGGACACAAAATAGAGAACAGGTAATAAGAAATAGGAGAGACTTTTATTTAGACAGCAGCTGTGTGGAGCTGCTTTCTTTGTTGTGTATTTAGATACTTGAGTTCACACTGTGTCACACAATGGAAAGGAAAGAAGTATTATTGTTATTTTAATTTCTCAGCTTAATTAGATCTCATTTTGAGATCTTTGTATTTTGAATTTTTCTAGAAGAATGATTAAGTTTGAAAGTTTGATTATTTCTCTCCAAAATAGAGAAATCTTAAGATATATATATATATATATATATATATATATATATATGGCCTCTTATATTTTGGTATCAAAGAAGCATTTATCATCTACTTACCTGTTTTGTGCCAGGGCCGGCACTAATTGGTAGATTCAGTCCATCAGATAGAAAGGCCTGTTATTTGGATCTCACAGTCATAGTCCTCTGTGCTAATGGCTACAGGGGGTAAACAGAAGCCTGTCCATCTATAATGAGGCTGCACTCTGGCCAGTTATTTATAAATCGTGTACTCATGCTCCACAGTGACCTGATGTGAATGGCCCCCATGTGCATGCTCATAGGCCTCAGTTCCATGTATTCATTGACCATATTGATGCTGACGGTTCTATGTGTAAAGATGGCTTTCTTACATTTTCACTCTTTCCTTCTTTCATCCTCCCCTTCCAGACTGCACACATCTCTTCAACATATATCTGTCATTCTGGGTAATCTTTGTGCTTTCTGGTTTGGCTCCTGGTCATGATTTGTTGAACTTGTACTGTTCACTATGAGTGGTTCATGCACGTAAGGACTTGATAATGTCCTCACAGAAATGAAGATATGAGGTGTTTAAGTCTCTGCCTTGGTGGAACATGCATTCTCTCTCTAACAATCTCCAGAGACGGTCATCATCTCTTCACCTTAACATGGTCTCAAGATCATGGACCCCCCATACACTTTGAATAGCATGATTGGTAATTGCTGGGTTTTTTGGTAACATAACTGAGTTAAGGTTCAGCTTCAGAATGGAAAGATGACAAACTATGTTTCTCCGAGTGCTTTGTACAAGCATACGTGAAAGAAGAATGAATGACTATTCTGTAGAAGATGGGGAAGCATAGCAGCCATGGATGGTTGTATACTTCATATCTTATGCCACAGAACCCTTGAAGAAGGTGCACTTGCTTCCTACAACTTCCCCTATTCCCTACTGTGGCTCTGTTTTAAATGCCTGTAAAAAAATATATGAAATATGGGAAGTGATTTGTTCTTTTAAAATATACTGTTCTATTTAAAAAAAAATTTTTTTTTTTTTGGGTCCAGTTGTGGGGCCTGAACTCTGGGCCTGGGCGCTGTCCCTTAGCTCTTCAGCTCAAAGCTACCGCTCTACCACTTGAGCCATAGCGTCACTTCCGGCTTTTTTCTTTTTGCGTATGTGGTGCTGAGGAATCGAACCCAGGGCCTCATGCATGCAAGGCAAGCGCTCTACCACTGAACCACCTTCCCAGCCCAAACTATTTTTTTTTTTTTTATCGGTCGTGGGGCCTGATCTCTGGGCCTGGGAGCTGTCCCTCAGCTCTTCAGCTCAAGCCTCAGCCCCATTTCCTGCTTTTTCTACTTATGTGGTGCTGAGGAATCGAACCCAGGGCCTCATGAATGCAAGGCAAGCACTGTACCACTGAGCCATCTTTATTTTTTAATATACAATGTACTTTTAAAGCATACTATTATTCTAGTACCCTACATGGATCGTCTAGTTAAAGAAATAGGAAAACCCATGCTAACAGGAAATAGAATTAAGTGTAATAATTGGGTAATCTTCAAAACTTTACTTTTAAAATAGGCCAGAATTAAAAGATTTAATTGGCTTCAGTTTATAGCCAGTATTCCAAATGACTTTGCCTTTGAGCAGGCTTATAGATTTTAGAACAGGAATCTTCTGTCACACCTGTGATTTGGGTTCTTCTTTTATTTTGCTTTTGTTTTCCAGCTGTTCTCTTATTATTGCTTTTATTATTGCTCAACCTTTCATTTTTCTACCAACACCAAAGCACATTTGGTGCCGCCCACTATTTTTTAAATTTTATTGTAAAGGTGATGTACAGAGGGGTTATAATTACATGATTCAGGTAATGAGTACATTAATCTGTTGCTCATAGAAGTTTGGTATCTCCATTATATAGGTTCAATTAATTTTCATTTTTAATTGAACTTACAATGGGCGGATAGTGTCCCATTCATTTGATTATCTCTATTGCCACATTATCTCTATTGTTACATAGTGCCTAAATTTTCATGTAGGTTTTCTGTGGAACTTTGGAATTGTAAATGTTTGCTTCTGTTTTGAATTGGTGTTTACTTGTAATACAAAGGGGTTTCATTGGAAGATACAAGTGTTTGATTCTTTTAAGAGCATCTATATTTAGAAGCCTTTCCCACATAGCATTCTCTCCACCTCCTTTTAGGGCATAGTCACCAGTTGGTTTTTACCTCAAACACAAAGGTATAAAACTATGATCATGTCCATATGTAGGAACCCAGCCAACAGGTGTATTGATATAGTTTTGTTTTTTTTAAGTAAATTGCATGTGACTTGTTTGTGAGTTATCCTTCCTGAAGTGTTTCTCTTTGAGCTATCTTCAACAGCTTTTGGGCTTTCTTCTTTTCATGTTAGCTCTCCTATTTCTGTTGGGAGTGTTGAGCTGAACCCCTTTGTATTAGTACTTTTTTTCATTTCTATTAAAACTCCATCCAAATTTTATTATAGCCATTTGAGTTTCCCTAAGGTGAATGGAGTCATTTGCCCTC